TCTTCATCGTCGTCATGTTTCGTCATTTTTGCATTATTTCCTTCTAGTTGATCTTCAGCTGCACGTTTTGATGAAGTATCAAATATCCTTAATTTTTTTTTTGTGTGTTTGTTTTATATAAAAATGGAAGATGAATCCATTGAAGAATTAGTGTCTTTGGCTATTCAATTAGAAGAGAAAGGACAGATTAAAGTAGACATTATAAATATACAGATATAGCTTTGAATTGATACTTAGTGTTCATATAGGATGCTTACTTTTCTTTTACTTCCTTAAGCCAAAAAGCAATACAGTCTTTAGCAGAAATTAAATTTGTACATTCATGTAAACAATAAGCTCTATAGTTTTACGTTATGCTAATACTATTTTTAGCCATCATTTCAATCCCAAAGCAGCACGCTATCCTTATTTCAGCCATAAAAACATGTTTACTACACATTGAATCAATCATTGAGAGCCATTCTACAATATCAAGACAAATGACGGGTGAATCCAAGCAGGCTCCTCCACCCTTGCCTCCAAAGCCTACAAAGATACAGAAGCCTCTTGTACCACCCAAACCTGCTCGTGTTTCTCGTCCTTCTTCTGTTGTTATAAAAGAAGAAATAGGTAAAGGAATAATAATAATAATAATAATAATAATAATACATGTGATGTATATACTGACAATTCAATAGATAACAATGATGGACTATTAGTAAAACCACGTGTCAATTATAACATCAGTAATAGTAGTCGACCTATCAGTTTACCTGCAGCTCGTCATCACTATCAACAAACAAATACGAGACCACAGACAGAATACTTGAATGAACCACGAGCCGTAGACGTTGTGGCCGAAGGTGAAGTGGATCCCAATTACCTCGTTCCTGCTCAAACAAATGCTGGTGATAGTTTGACACCTGCTATAGTCTCTTCAATGAATACCGATCACGTTCCTCTTATTCCCGCCCCACCACTTCTCACAACTCATCGTAACCTGCAAGCCAAGCTGGATGACTTGGAAGAGAAACTGAGACAATGCAGAATGAAAAAACAAGCGATTATGGAAGGCAGACAAACTGAAACAAACAATATGACCGAAGAAAGTTTGGATCAAATGATTGCTCAATATTTACGTGTCATGGCTGAAATTAAAGCAACATTGAATGGTGTACGAACGATCTATATGAGTGCAGCTACAATACCAAATGTACTCCAATTCCAAGCACACATCATTGCCTATCAACTAACACTTATTGATGCTGCTATATTTAACGCAATACCTCCTCCAGCCTTATTAGAACATTCATCAAAACATCCTCATCCTCGCATTGTTGCATCTACTGATTTTTTTAATTACATCACCCGTTTTATAGAACACTCTATTCTTCTGCCCCAAGAGGCTTCTGCACGAGCTCAGCATATCCATTATTGGATCAAAGTGGCTTCTCGCTGCTTAGATGTAAATAACTATCAAACACTAAAAGCCATCATTTCAGCATTAAATACTCCACCTGTACAACGTCTGAAGAGGACATGGTCTTATATACCAAAGAAAAGCTCCACAAAATTAGAGACATTAAATGACCTCATGTCTGAGGCCAATAACTATGGAAACTATCGTGAACACATGGGAATGGTCAATACAACGGTGGTGAATGGGAAGAGTGTACAAATGATTCGTGATGAGCATTTCTCAAGGCCTACGGTTCCCTTTTTAGGCACCTTTATTCATGATGTAACCTATCTTTTGGCTGCCTTCAAATCCAGTCCAGCGGCAGCAACAATGTCACCCGAGGAGGAGCCCAGGATTCAGGAAGTGCTGAATACAATGCGCCGGTTTCAAACTGGCCCACGATATACACCAACGATACCCTCTTTTCTCTTGAAGTCATCTCAAAAGCATCATTTTAGGCCGGCCATCTCTAATGCTCTACACCGAGGTGCGTCTCGTATCCAGCGCATGAGTGGCGGAAACATCTTTGGATTCGATTCTAGTAGCAACAGCAACAGCAGTGGTGTAAGCTCCTCTAGTCTAAGTTTTATGAGCGATAAAGAAGATGATGAAGATAACTTGGAAGAGCAACAAAAGATGGCAACACAATATATCCTGATGCGATCATGGGTCAGTCAGAATACAGTAGACGAACTTAGTACATTGCGTGAACCTCTACAGTCAAAATCGAATAGTATGTACGGATCACGTAGTAACAGTAATGGACCTACGAGTTCAATCAGCATGAATCGGACAAGCTCCATGTTTAGCAATACAAGTTCCAATGTTCGCTTCAGTACAGGATCAACCTCATTAAATACCTCAGGAGGCAGTGGAGGTGATAGTCGACCAGCAAGCATGGATGGTTACGTCTAATTTAGTGTATTATTTAAACATGATATATATATATATATATATATATATGTCTGTCTATGCATATTTATATATTACATTACATGTATGTGTATATACATATGTGCGTGTGTGTGTATGTGCTGGCTGGAACTCACAAATAAAATGTATCGTTGGAATCATTCATGAACTGAGTTGCAGATATATATATAAATTGTCCAAAACAATAAAAAATTTTAATAGATCTTTACAGAATGACAAGTGAAGACGATACATTTAATTTCAACTTTGACGATGATATTTTCAGCGAAACTAAAGAAAAGCAACAAGTTGAGTTATCAGCTATAGATTATCAAGCAAAAGTTGAAACTGATGGAGTAAAATATAAACATGATCTATTGCTTTGTTGATCTAATTGTTAAAACAGTGGTTTCATTCAGAGAAATCTGTAGAAGAGCTAATGTTGGAAACACATGGTCCTAATCAATTAAAGAATTCAATTGAGCATGATTATCTATACAAGAAATATGATATAGCTTTGGACAAATGTTTGGGATACATCAGAGTAGCTCGTACGAACGATCAATGTAAAGTTAGTGGGACAAAGGAACTAGTTGAGATGGCTATGCATTGCGCTGCCAAATTGAATAAACTGGACATTATAAACGAATTGTTGGATGAGAAACAAGTAAGAATGAGATAAACAGAGAGAGAGAAATGATTCAATAACATGACATATACAGTCTACAGTCGATACCGGTCTATTATTGACTAGAGGGAAATTCTTGCCTCTTGTAGGACGATATAAGGAAGCGATGCATACGTATATTGAATATCACAAGGAAAGAAAGCTAGATTACAAAATATGGAATGCTATGGCCAACGTATTCATGCTATCAGCAGAAAATGACAGTGAGAAAAGACAAGACATGCGATATCATTTGGCGAACCTTTCCATGATTCGTGCTATACATATTTATACAAACTCAAGATGGAGAAACAAGATTGATTTTGTAAAGGATAGGTTTGAAAGAGAATTAGAATCATTAGAAGCACGTTTGAAGACAACAAAAGAGCGTCGAGGCGATGCAGATAAGTTTGTAGAATGGATGTCGACTGATGACAAAAGTATAGAAGATGCGGGATTAAGCTCATTTGATTGGCAAGACATTATTTGGATTTATAAAGACTGGATACTAAGACAGGACATTGAAATAGAAGAAGACAATACAATAAAAGCAGTTAAAGATTTATAATCACTTCTTTAATCATTAATTTAAGCATCAGTTGGTCCTTTTGCTTCCTCAGCCTTGTCATTAGCTTCTATTAAAAAAGTTAACGTGATGTTAATAATAACAATAAAAGGTTTACCTTGAAGGTCTGATGTCCATAAAGTCAAGTTGTCTCTTAACAATTGCATGATCAAGGTAGAATCCTTGTAAGACTCTTCGCTCAAGTTATCAAGTTCAGCGATGGCATCATCAAAGGCTTGTTTAGCCAAATGACAAGCTTTATCAGGTGAGTTGTAAATTTCATAGTAAAAGACAGAGTAGTTCAAGGCGAGACCCAAACGAATAGGATGAGTAGGAGCCAACTCAGCTTGAGCAATTTGTGTAGCATTCTCGTAGGCTTCACGAGCAGCATGTGCAGCGTCCTCACGAGCACTTCCAGTAGCATATTCGGCAACATAGCGGTGATAGTCACCCTTCCTATTTGAAGAGAAAAAAATGTATGTGTCAGAAAGATATAAAAACAAATATAAAACCTACATCTTGTAGTAAAAGACTTGGACTTCTCTTTCTTTTGCAGATGGAATCAAGTGTTCATCCAAGAGACTCAAGATATCAGCACAAACTTCATAAAGTTCTGACTCAATCTTTTCTCTGTATTGCTTGATTTTGGACACTTGGGCCTCATGACCTTTCATTTCTTCTTTTTGTTCAATAGATGAAACAATTCTCCATGAGGCACGACGAGCACCGATGACATTTTTATATGCGACAGATAAAAGATTACGTTCTTCAACTGTTAAATCGATACCCATCTAAAATATACTTTAATATATGCTGTATGTCTCATATTCAGCTTTTACCTTTGCGACGTCCTTCATAAAAGAGACCATTTCTATACTACGATATTTGATATATGTTCTATACTTTATAGTTTTAACTTACCATCGTAACGTTCTGCTTGCTCGGCAATCTTTGCCATGTAAACCTTTTTATTACAGTTAGAGTCATTAACAGTTTATGCTTTTCAATTATGGTTCTTACTTTGTCTTCACGTTCCTATACGTTATGTTAGTAAACTATATCCTTAAACTAGAGTCATTTCATATACTTACATTAGCCATTGTTAAAGAGATGATTTATATAAAAAGAGAGAAGGAGAAAGAAGAAAGGTGTAACATCACAAAGTTTAACACCTTTTTTCCCAAACCGATTGAAAAGCAGCAACTAGATGACGTACCCCGAGTGGCGGGGCATTTGCGCCGCTTAAAGTAAGTTTATGTTCTTGAATTCAGAAACGTGTCTGATCTCTCCTTAACGCTGTCACTTGACTGACGGTTTCAGTAAGGATATCTGTCACATCAAGAGAACGTTTTTTTCTTTCCAATAAGATTTAAGAATAGTGAATATGGGGAAATCTATTGCACCAGCTGCGAAGCGAGAGTGAGAGGTATCCTGCAGCTGCCCATGGCAATAAAGATTCCCCTTTTGTTAAGCTTATCTAAAGTGTCCCCTCGCTACATGAATTTCATGATAGGATCTGCAGTTGTGCGTTGCCTGAAAAGCTTATGCAGCTGCTGGTAGAAGACAACTTTATTTGATATCGTTAAATTTTCACTAAAACACGTAAAATAAGACACGTAGAGTGACTGAATTCAAACAGATTCTTTTATTCAGGATAACATCATTGATATGGTCATGTTTTTAAAAAATGACATGGGATTTATATATAAAAAAAAAGAGACAGAGAGAGAATGTGTTTAAATGGTTTCATAGACTGATTAATTCCTCTATCGCTTATGACTGTGTAAAAGGTGCTTTTTAACATTTCTGACGTTTTATTTAAAGACAAAATGCTATGGCATGCTGGCCTGCCTTATTTGATATCTGCAATGCAACTTTAAAAGCTTACATTGGGGTAATCAGAGTACATACTATCAACCTTAGCTACATTTAACCCTGTGCTATTGGCCACAACTCTCTTTATCGACTCCAGTTCAGAGTTTATTGCATGGAGGAATCAACAACAAGATAAAAAAATATCTAATAGCAACGCATAAGGGCTTTGACGTTGTCATGGCAGTGGATGTAGTATTGAGTTTTGGTCGGGTATCTCTTTTATCCTCATGGTTTCTACAGATGTTAATGTTTCGCGACTCATGAATTTCATTAGATAATATGAGCATCCTTCATTGCCTATGATAGATACAATTCCTTAAAGTCTTTTAAATCATATTCTTTTTAGTACCATATCCTTCAAATCAATCACTTTTTCTTATTGCGGGATCCATTAAGAACAGTAACATTCCACAAGCATAACACTTCAAAATTTGGACAGCTAGAAAGTAGATTATGAAAAAAATTAACAGCAATAGCAGCGTCGTTGATATGCAGGCTTGTAATGAACCAAAGACATAACCATAAAAAGACGACAAATAGTGTACAGAAAGTTGTAATTCCTATTTATAAACAGGCAGAACGTGACAAGCTTACGGAATCGCTCTAACAGTCCATACGCAATGTATAAACATCTAGTATAAATTGATCTTGTTGAAAGGATGTATTATAAGCAAATGCACCATCCTGGACCGCTTTGTTAGTTGAACTTTCCAGGGTTTTTACAATTACCGCTATTTCATGATCCATGTCATAATCATTCATGGCAATATCAATATGCAGTGGTTTGTAACCATGTGGGTTCCTTGGAGGTACTTGAACATTTCTGTTCAAATATTCACAAACGTTTGCAAGTACACCAACCTATGCCCCTCAATTCCAATCGTTGACGCTTCCATGTTGACTGAATCTTTAAGGCTCTTTAAAGGATAGCCAAGTTAATTGACCATATACGCCAAGCAAGTGCATAGACATGGGTCGAGGGGGAATCTGGAAGGATATGCAAGAGATATTAACAAATCTTTTCGTAATATAATTAATTAATGCCTTTGGTTTAAAAGGTTTGTTGGAATCAATACGAAGATATGCTAAGAAAAGTTGTGGGCCCTGGACGACCGAAGCATCCACGTTTTCATTTATAGCAGCAGCTGTATGAAGAAAAGACAATCCAGAGGATGAGTTAAAGATAAAGATAAAATCTTGCATTGGGAAACCTTTTATACACTGTATGTCTTTCATACTTTTACGCTTGGAAATGGTCACGGTGGACTCCTTGTACTTATAAAAGTGCTTTAATCCAAGCTCGTTAGAACCAAAAGTGCATAGTTCGCATATGTTCCATTTATACCGTCATCAATATCAAATAAATACGTTGATAGGCGACTATCAAAGATAGTCAAACCTTCGAGGTTTAGACAATATTTGACCAACTGCATAAAATCATGAGAAGTTATGTCTGTATCGACTTATTTATGATGGTAACGGTCAAAATAATGTGTATTTCTATTTTTTTAACAGACTGTTCCGATATCCAAGAGCTCTGATTTGTTTAAATTTCAAAAAAAGTGAATGTCGCCTTGAAAGCGTATCTTTTTAAAACAAGCGTTTTGTAGAGAAAGCCAACCACCTTGAAAAAACAAGTCAACAAGGACGTCAGATTTTGTCTTTTCCCTGATGTATTCAAAGACTTAGAACATAGTTTGGGCAAGCGTTGAACGTTAGTCTAATAGCTTACAGTATTTCTACTCTAAAGGGTCAGACGATGTTAGCTTTAGACAAGCCAACAGTGATCTCTGGACATCTTATCTGTAGATATCTAAATGTTTTGTGAAAGAGATACCATATTTGATATGGCAATATGAAAAAAAAGAAGGGCTTCTACGTTATTGGTTTCGCAAGAAAACTGAAGGGCGACTGCATTCAGTAATAATGTGAAGATTTTAAAAATGTTTTTGGGAGCATTTAGATCACGCTGCCACACTATTCCGCAAATTTTGCAAGTGAGAACACTATGAAGATCGATCATAACTGTAGTAAGAGTCATATTTTGACATGAATGGCATACCTATATTTACAAAAAATACAAGTGTATGGCATACGTGGTAGTTGTATTCATTTCCTTGGATGTACGAAATTCATCCATCGTTGCAAGTAACAGCTCACCAGGCTTCTGTCTTCTCTTTAACTGCTGGTAAAGCACTCCAGTTACACCGACTCTATGCATCTTTATCTTTACGTGATCATTTCCGAACATTCCGTTTCCGAATGATATGAGCGGTAACTTTTCTTTATCGTAAAAGAAATCTGCTTTCTTCCAATAGGGATCTTTCCTTTTATAATAAACAGTAAACAATAATGATTATTCTCCATGTTACGCGAAGCACTTACTTTTGGTTTACTTTAGGAGAATGCTTGCTTTTTCTTTTCTTCTTGCGTTTTTTTTTTTCCTTCTTGCTTAAGCATATTGGTTTAAGAAAGGGAGGATTTCGAATTGTGTTGTTGAAAAAAGGAGCGCTAATATACACTTCTGTTGTCAATATTCATCTGCCAGACTTGACAACGTTTTCAACTTTTGATTAATGCTTTTTTACATTTTTACCCTTGATTCCTATCATTAACTTCCTAGCTGATCCAGAAGGTCATTTGTTTACTTTATTTTTGTGATCAATTGGATCATATCAGTAACATGCTGTGCTTATACTAATTGTGCTTTTGATATCACTGTTGACGTGTCTAAAACTAATTTCTTATTTATCCGAATTTCCTTTTTTATCTTGTACAAAACAGGTAAACAAGTCGTCTAAAGTTACATTTTGATTCGTCCAGAAAAAAACTAACATCGTCTGAATTTAAAGTAGAAATACAGTATTGTTTCTTTCTTTATATATAATGGATCATTACTTGCATGAAGACATCTCACCACCTGCTACACCTCCTAGCTTCTTTGTTTCTTCCTCTTCTTCTAATAATAATAACGCCTCTGTCCATTCTTCAGTTATAAATGCTTTGACTTATAACCACAGCAGTAGTAGTATCAGCAACCGATTGGCAAGGAAACTACGAGCCTCTTTTAGTGAAATAAACGAAGATATTAATGAAGAGCAACTAAACCACTTGCGTCAACTGAAGCATGCCTTTCAACAGCTCTCCCCACAGCAAAAGCAGCTGCTATTAGCCGAACTGGTCAACTGCTGTGATAACAGCCAGCTGAACTATTTAAATGATCTTATTGCACCCCGTCTTAAAATTGACTTTTTGAAAGAACTGCCTATCGAGATATCCCTACACATCTTGACATTTATTGATGATCCCAAAACACTGGCAAGAGCTGCTTGCGTATCCACGTTCTGGAACTCATTATTAAAGGATGAAGCAACGTGGAAAGCGCTTTGTATGAAGCATCAGTATCGCCGACGTAACTCAAGTATATGCGGCGGAGAACTGTTAGAACCACCGAGTCAACGCCGAAACTTTTCTTATCGAGAATATTTTAAACGTAAATATAATGTCGCCTCTGCTTGGGCTCATGGTGGAAAAGTAAAAGTGGTGGAAGAAGGGTTTGGTGAAGGATTGGTCACTTCCTTGCAGTATGACGAAAGATTTATCGTCGTCGGCTGTGATAATCATCGAATAGAAGTTTTTGATACAAACACCGCCGAGAAGGTGCGGACTTTGCGTGGTCATGAAGGAGGTGTATGGGCATTGCAGTTCAAGGGGGGCGAGAAAAACGACCCAGAGCGTATCCTCGTTAGTGGAGGATGTGATAGGTAATGAAAAGTAATATGATATGTTGAATAAGCTAATTCTTGTGTAATATTTAGAGATGTAAGAGTCTGGAACTTGGATACTGGAGAATTACTTCATATACTTCGTGGCCATAATTCAACTGTGAGATGTCTAAAGATGAAAGATAAAAGAATTGCAGTCACAGGATCTCGAGATGCAACAATGAGAGTATGGGATATACAAAGAGGCGTTCTATTGCATGTTTTGCTTGGCCATCAAGCAAGTGTACGTTGTATGGAGATTCATGGTAATACAGTCGTATCAGGATCCTATGATTATACAGCAAGAGTTTGGGATTTACGTACAGGAAGATGTCTCCATGTGCTTGCTGGACACTATACACAGATTTATGCTATAGCCTTTGATGGACATAAAGTAGTCACAGGATCGCTCGATTCAAACATTAGGGTATGGTCAGCAGAAACAGGACAGTGTCTAGCTACCTTACACGGACATACGTCATTAGTGGGCCAGTTGCAACTTTCTGGTAATACACTGGTCAGTGGAGGCTCTGATGGTTGCTTACGTGTATGGGATCTTCAACATTACGAATGTACCCAGCAAATCTCAGCACATGATAATTCTGTTACTTGTCTACAGTTTGACGACAGACGTATGATGAGCGCAGGAAACGATGGAAGGATTAAATTATGGGACATAAAGTTAGGCCGACTAATCAGAAATTTCACAGCACCAGCCAAAACTGTATGGAAAATACAGTTTACGGATACAAAGGCTGTTGTCTTGATGCAGCGCAGGCGTTCACCCGATTCTGAAGAAGGCAAGACTGTAATGGAGGTACATGATTTTGATATTGATGATATGGAAACAGAAGAGGAGGATACTTTATCTGATATGGCCATAGATAGTTGAATCCTAAAGAAAAGAAGGAAATAAAAGAACTATTTATTCAAATGTGCAATAGTAAATATCAGGCGTATTTTGACGTGAAGAAATATGTATCGTTTTTCTGTTTGAAGGATATGCGTTGTTCATCTGAATGCAAAAGATCGTTTGAATTTGTTCGTATATGTGAGCAGATCAAAGTATTCAGGAACTAAGCTTATCTCGGAACACCCTTGAGTGGGTTGGTCTCTGCGAATTTCATAACTTCATCTTTCAAGAATAGCGTATGGGCACTCAGGTAAATCTTGTTTCATCATTCCATCAATGGTTGAGATCTACATATACATATGATATGTCAGTCAACAAGAACATCATTTTGATATCTACTGCATGAGGCTGCAGATAGTTGACACATTTACCAGCATTGACTTGCAGGAGAGAAAAGCAGTAGATGAAACTTTAATACTATTATTTACTACTCTATTGAGCAGAAAAGAAAGAATTACCAATGTTACTTTTTCAGAGGATAAACTCCTTCAAGAGATGTATGAATGACAACAGTGTACTGTCTGTTGAAGATAAAATAGAACGTAAAAGTCAATGGGACAAAAGAATAATGTGTTTTATTAAGGAGCATAAAGGACATTGCACTTGTTTTTGCTAATGAACTCTGTTAGCGTTGCAACATAGTGGTTCTCTGCCGCTTCTGGTACGAGCGCTTTCACTAACATGTTGATGGCTTGATTATAGGCTAGTACCGTTTTATTTATCAGATCAGTACCTGGTCTGTTGTTGTAAGGAAGGGTATGATCAATGCCGTTTAGATACTTTACTTAAGAGAGTATTTGTGATGCTGTTGAATAAGTAGTTTTGCCTATGAAGCATAAAATGGAATAAGGCTCTTTGTAATCATGAGTAGAAAAAAGAAAGAGGTTCATGGCAAGAAAAGAAATTGATCTTTACATACAACAAATGCTGTTCAACATCTAGTGAATTACATCAATACGAAGCGTCATCAAATACTATGAATCAGTGCTGTGGGCTTAATACGAAGTATTATATTACTATTCAAGATATGGATTATACTGAGGCAAAGGGAGTAATCTTTAAAGTAGACATATGACAGTGTATATATTCATCTGATGAAATATATTAAAGAAGTGTAATAGTAAATAATAAAAAAGTAAGTTATTGCTGTAAGAAGTAGTAGTAAAGTAGTAGTAGTAGTATTAGTTGTAGTACTTTTTACAACTAGCCGTAGTAATAATGATGGTAGCAAAAACAGATGTTAATTAGCTACATTGTACATATTTGTGTAATTTAGTTTCCTCCAACACCCTAAACAAGTAACACATTGAATAGACATATAATACACAATACAAATTGATTTACCTTGTGATCAAATGCAAACCACCATACAAGTATAGCAATGACTACAGCAAGGATAATTGTAATAAAGAAGCAACACCATTTTTTCTATTATATTATTAGACAACCCATTTCTACATTATTGGGTCCAACTTACAGCACGAGTAGATCTAGCTAAAACAATCGCCTTATTTATATGTGTAACACCTTGTTCAATATCAGCATTTGTATTCTCTGCATGTGTTTCTATTTGATCCAAGACTTTTCCTTGATCCTCAACCATCATTTGCATATCTTCAAATAATTGTGCTAATTCTATGATGGTTTTTTGAATTCGTTTAATGTCATCATGTCTGGTTTGAACTTCGGACAGTACAGCCTTGGCTTGACCAGATCGACTGTTTTGCAATAGCTAATATAATATGTAAATAAAAAAGAATATATACGATTTGATATTTATCCTTACACTCTGAGCAAATATTTGGTTTTGTTGGTCTGAATCAATAATGGCATCTAGCTCATCCTCTGTAACATCCTGTTTAACTAGTATACAATATAAGTAAGGACACTCGTTATTATTTGCTTTTTACCTATTCTAATCTGTCTTTCGACACGTTGTCGATATTTCTGATTAAAGTTTGCTTCAACATCTCGATATCTTTGAATACAGTTGAGAAACTCTTTTTTAACTCGAGAGACCTATATAGCACAGTTGGTATTTTGTATCAACATTAAATAATAATAATAGTAACCTGTGCTCTTCTAATGTTCAAATCAGAGTTCTTTGGGTGGGTTGAGTTACTAGCTTCCAAAGCCTTTATTCTATTCTTGATACTGGTATTCATTGCAGAAGTTTCATCAACAAACTGTGATAGTTGCTTTGATGTTTGTTTCCATTGCTTTTCATTAATACTAACCAAAGAGGTGTCATGTAATTCACTTATAATATCAATGTTTCTGTTGATAGCTTTAACAGAGGCTGAAATATCATCAATCTATCATCATATATTAATGTTGAATCATTCCATTTTTTTTTTTTGAAGGTATACCTCTGCCAAATAACCATCCATAGTAGAGATATTTGTTTGGGCAGTAGAAGATACTTTATTTCTTGTGTCCATTTCGTACGAGGACTCTTCATGGCTACTCGTCGTATAACGTACTTGACCACCAGGTGTTCTTGTAGGGCCAAAAGCATCCGTGCTATATAATTTTATCAGTGGGGCCTGTTTCTATGTATTATATAAAACAAAATAACCTGTCTGAAGCGTTCTATAAATAAAGTATGAGTACCTTGTTTTTTTATCTATTCTTTCTTTTTTTCTTACCCGAAGATCAGCTAGTCTGTCTCTACTAACAGTATACTTTGAATTGTAATTGCTCATCAAGTCTAAATTAGTAAAAGGTAAAGAGAAGAAAAGGAAGGGGACGGAGAGGGAAAAAAAAGAGAGATAAAGAGAGAAAGAAAGGTACAGTCGAAATAAAAGGGGGGCAAGTGAATTTTTTAAAGGAGAAATTTTTCAAGTGTTTCTTAACTTTACACCATTAATTAAAGTTGCTTTGGTTTTCTTGAGTTGCCTTATTATTTCAATACACTCGATCCTTTTTTTATCCTTTATATTGTGTGTATCCATATTTAAACCTCCTTTTTCATTGATATGATGTGTTGCCCTTGGTAACAGATATAGCCTGTGCAAGTGTCTCGGTTGTAACAAAAAACTGTGATGGATACACACATGATTCATAAACAACTGTATCAAGTAGTTTTTTTTTTTTTTTAAAAAAAAGAGCGTATCACTATATGAGGAGAGAGAGAAGGGGGAAGGGTGCTTATAAATAGATGGGATCAATCTCGTTTACTATTGTTGTCTTATCAAACAGATTCTTGTCCAACCACAACGACGTTTCAAGTCCTCGTGTGAGAGGTATTTTGTCACAGTCCAGGCAGGATTAATTTTTTTTTTCTCTTTTTTTGTTTGTTTGCAGCAAATGGCAACCAGCTTAGAAGACAGGAACCTTGGAAGAAAGCTAAGTCATCGAGGATCCTCGGTCATTGTCGCAAGCGAGATTATACCACCACCTGTTCACTTTGAGTCATTCAGAATATCCGATGATCAATTGAAAACGATCAAGAATAAAAAAATTCGCAAGTTTTATGAAGTAAAACAAAACTAGAAAGTTGCCTTTTGCATGTTTTTTTTATTGAAATCTGTTGCTATAGAGACAAAACTCAATGATATCAAGATTTATCCATGTTGATAAAATTATCAATTCTTTGGAAAAGGGCGAACTGTCATTGCCGCATAATTACGGTAGTATTTTAGCGGATGAAGAGCGCGGTTTTGTTTGTGCAGCAGCAGGAGAATCACAACCATTGTTGTCTTCCAGCCGGTCAACAACACCCGATGTAGATGCTGACAAGAAGTCTCCCATGTGGATAGTACATCTAGCCATCAATCTATCCTTCTTTGCCAACATTGCTTTATTTCTTACCAAAATTATCCTCGCATGGTTTTCAGGCTCGATGGCTTTGCTCGCATCTGCGTTTGAAAGCTTTTTAGATATAGTGAGCAATGCGATCATCTTTTTCACTGTACGCATCATTCGTCAAAAAGACTATTACTCTTATCCGGTTGGAAAATCAAGAATGGAGCCATTGGGTATCGTTGTCTTTGCAGTTGTCATCACAACATCGTTCTCTCAGGTGCTTATAACTTCTATTGAAAAGTTAACAAGTGGTTCTGCTTCTGAGGAAATCGACTTGAGCTTGAACGCCCTGATTGTCCTCGGCATTAACGTGCTCGTTAAAGCAGCTCTCTGGGTCTGGTGTGTGTCCATCAAGGGTAGCTCTAGTGTAGAAGCATTAGCATATGATCACGAAAATGACGTTGTCTTTACGATCGCAAGTACACTATTCCCACTTGTTGGCAATTGGCTAGGTTGGAATTGGTTAGATCCTTTGGGCGCTATTCTACTTTCGATTTACATTATTTATGAGTGGATGAACGTTTTGTTAGGTAGGATGATATGTAAATGATAAAAAAACAACATTATTAACCAAATGCAGAAAACATAAGGCGATTAACGGGTCAAGCAGCAAGTGCAGATGATATTAAACAACTGACCTATATGGCTTATCGTTTCTCAAAAAAGATCACAGCTGTTGACACTGTCAGAGCATATTATATTGGCGATAGGTTACTAGTAGAAATCGACATCATTCTACCGCCTGATTGCCCCCTAAGAGAGGCTCATGATATTGGAGAAGCCTTACAGGATGCATTAGAGCTTATGGAAAATGTTGAAAGAGCCTTTGTTCATCTGGATTACAGTGCTGAACATGAAATTGAACACAGAAGAGTGGTTGATGGTGTTGGATTCAATGTATAAAAGCATTATATGAATAAATCTATTTATTGATGTTGAAGATACTTTTGGCACTTCTTTTTTAATTGTGCTGCTGTGTGTTGATATATGTTTAATTCCTTATCCCAAAACATGGCCTTATAGTCGTCTCCATGCTTATCAATCAATTTCTTGATCCAATCTGTTTCAAAATCTGATTGATGCTTTTCACGATGGAAAGCATTAGCAGCCTGTTCTTCAAGTTGTCGGACTATATCTGTCTTTGCTTCCACAGGAGGTACTTCTTCATCCAAGATTTCATCATGGCTCTTGGCTTCACCCACTATCACTCGTATGACATTGCCTTCGTCGTCACGTTGAATTAAACCTTCCCCTGGCCGCAGAGACTTTTTTATCTTTTCGATCTCTTCCTCGGTCAGTTCTTTTGGAATACTGGCTTCCTCCGTCTGTTGTGGTTGATCAGGCATATTCTTCTCTGTGCCTCCCGTTTGACCATTTAAGGATGGCAGTAATCCGAGCTTAGCATAACTATTATTGGTTATTAATAAGCGTATTTTGAATAAATTCAAACTTACTTTTGCTTTAATGTTAATCTTTTATCCCAGTTGGCTTTGATAATCGCATTTCCCTAAGAGGCAATCAATAATCCGTAGATCTACTCTTTAATTGATAGATCACTTACTGTAATAGTAACTCTTTTTCTATGTCTATCTGCTGTTCTTCTTGTGTTCTTGTTTGTGCTTCTTCTTGCTTTCTTTTGACGAGGTGTAGCCATTTTTGTTTATATTTAATAAAGAGAGAGAGTATATGAGGTACACAATCATTTTTTTTTGTTAAGAAAAAAAATTGCGACTGTGACTCTGTTTCTTAGCTTTTTCCAAAAAAGACATTCCCTTCTCTCCCTCTCTCTTTTTTACTCACATAGGATAATGCATGAAAGCGATCGGCCTAAATAGATAAATTTACCGAAGGTTGTCCTTTGAGTACCCATGACAAAACATTGTGTTTAGGATTATATGAAAAAGATATATTTGCTACTACAATCCTCATCTTTTTACTTTTTTAAAAGAAGGAACGACTACAGATGTATATAAAAGAAACATTGATTAATGAGACATAAAAGGAGAGAAGATAGCAATGATAAACAGCAGGATGTGAATGAAAAAAGCCACTTGCGTTTATTTGTTTGACAGTTTTGATAGCATAACATCAATAAACTCCAGAACATTTAAAAACAGGTATAAATATGTATTCTTTTTCTTATCATCTCGTCAATTCATTTTTTTCTTTTTCTTTCTTTCTTTTTCTTGTTTGACGTGTAATTTTTGATGTTTTCCGGTGGTGAGCAAAGAGTAACTTTGCCTGCTATTACTTATCTACTCCTACTTTGGGCACCTGCATCATTCCTATTTGCCCTTATCATTATGCCTGAACACAGGGTCAACAGAACAATAAAGCAGATTCTGGCAACTCCATTACTTGCTGTACAATTCCTGCTCCCATTTGCCATTGCAAGTGAATCAAAAGGTAACACACCTTTTTCATTTTTGTTGTTATTATTCCCGCTTACTGTTTAAAATAGCACTCAATTTAGTTTGTTCAGTCCTCAACTTTAACGTATGGCTACGATTCATAGGATTGTTCTTGGTAGACCCTCTTGTTGAAGAAAATCCAGCATACACAACAGTCAAGAATCTGTGGATTGAGTTTTGGAGTTGTATGCGAGAATTCCCAGAGGTGACAACAAAAAATGGCAAGACATCGAAAGTAAAGGAATATACAAAAGATAGGGTAAGCCAAGATAGCCGTAGACGATTGAGGTCACTGACTACTTATTTAAATAATAATAAAGAGCTTTTATCACATCATCCTTCTCTTATTCCTCGAACTGCTTACAATCGATGTTGTTGCAACATGGATTACATCATTCAGTAGCCGGGAGATAAACGCGCTCGCTACAGAACGACCTATGCTATTCTTTATATTCTTTGTAGCAGCCAATATTCTGCTAACGAGCACATTCAATTCAATTGGGTATGTGCTTCAACTCTTTTATTGTATCTTTATAGAAGGGGGCTCATATTCTTCCGGTAACTATAAAATTCAGATACGCGTGTGTCAACATGTTGCTTATGGAGTTTTGTAGAACAGTGGAGGTCTATGATGAATCATCCAGTGAAGGCAAAGAGTCTAAACGAATTCTGGTCTCAACGATGGCATCAATTATTCAAACAGACCTGGCTGGCAATCCCTTTTCGGCCTGTTCGTATTCTTTCTGTGCGTGGTCTTTCTAGCATTATGAAGAACCCAAAAAGCATTTCATTTATGCTCGCATTTATTTCCGTTTTTGTCATATCTGCATTAATGCATGAGTATGCTATCGCTGCTAATCATGGATTATCTATCTACAGACGCTTCTTCATGGGTGAACAATTGCTTTTTTTCATGGCTCATGCTCTTGGCATTCTGATTGAACAGACAATGCAAGCCACCGTTGTGAAAAGATGGTTTATTAAATCAACCATTGCTCACAAGTTAATTGGACATATTTGGACAGTTACCTTTGGTTACTTTACATTTTATTATATAATGAATGGATTCATAAGTAATGAATTCTATGCTGAAAATCCAATTAGGTTTCTTAATCCATACATCTTACGGATCGTACGTGAAACACCAGCCGTTCGACCGTACTTTGGCAGTTATATTTATTAAACAAGACTTAAAAACGCCCACAAAAGGTTTGGCGTGTATTTTTCATATGGTTTACTTTGAAAGTAAGTTACACAAATATATTGCAACACTACTGATTTAAACAATATTTATAATAATAGCAAATTACAAAAAGAACGTAAAAGTGAGAAGGGCATTGATTTATAAAAAGTCTATTAAGGATAATAAACAGGGTCAATTGAAGATATTGATCGGAGTGAGTACATTATACATTGTCTGGAGAATCACAGTAGTGCAAGTGCTACCTTAAAGAATCGAGACACATTTTTTCTCTTTCTTTCCTTCTTTCTTTCTTTTATATACACACAATTGATACAATAGTGAATGACCATATTAGAGCCACCTCCTCGACCTAATAAAAGTAAATTGAGAACATTACGTCCAGATGGTCTTTCTCTAAGTCCCTTCGTGACGCCAACAACCTCTCCAACAGAAGTAGCCGAGGAAGATTATTTCTCTCTTGTAACTTCATCTTCGCTTGATGAAAGAACAGCACTACATCCTACAGCAACTTCATCACATATCTTACGAGAACAGCCCAAGTATAGGAGTAGATTTACAGAGCATTTTGATGATCATAGTAGAGACATCATTGAAGAAGAATTTGCTGGACTCTTTTCCCTAATACAACCTAGTTCTCCACGTCCACCCAAGTCTGAACAGGTGAAACAGTCAAAGAGTCTTGCTGTCATTTCTGAAAACTCTGCAAAATCAGACATAGTACCAAAGAAGGCCTTGGTTAAATCCTCAAGTACAAATACAGTTACTGTTTCTTCGACTGAACTCGCCAACACAACATCAGTATACGCAAGAAAGAATTCTCAGCCAGCACCTTCCTTGTCCACACCACTACAATCATCCAAGGGCATTCCGAGCCCAAGGAAATTTGGTAGCAGTGGATCCATATTGAACGCATCTAGTATACCTGTAGCAGACTCTCTGCATTCTAGTATGTCAGAACAGTCGGATTCATTGGTATCCAATATAGCAACCAAGCTGAATAGAGCAGACGTGATTGTTGAACGCTTAGAAAGCTGGAATGACTTTTTAAAATCCATTACTGGATGGCTCGAAGAGATTGCAAAGATAAACATGCAAAGTGGTCGAGGATACTTGCAAAGAGCAGGATCATACCTGAATATGAACACGGAGGATAGTGAATCCGTTCGATCTCTTCAAAGCGGGCTTCAGGCACTTGTGAACAAATTATCATCTGAGCAGCAGGATCTCTCAAGCACGATCCATCGAGATCATTTACCAGGCATCTATAAGCTTCGAAAGGAATGCAAAGAAAAGATACAAAGACTCAAAGCAGACACTTCTTTATCTATGGACGAATTATATCGACGAGCTGAAGTAACAAGAAGCAAGATGAATTATTTAAATCGATGTTGTAAGCAAGCAGAACGAATGAAGGGACAAATCGAAATGGACCCTTGGTTAGCCAATCTCCGTAAGGAAAACATATAAAAACATGATTTGATTTAAACCTATTGATATATGTCCTTGATTAGACGTCCTTCGACAATTGAAGAGAGAAGTAGATGAGGAAAATCGATTGAGACTTTTGATGATACCCATTCAAAATGAAACAAAAGAATTTGAGCAAAGACTATTTCAACTCGTCAAACCAGCTATTGATTACTGCTGTAAAGCGCTCGCAAAGGAGTCTATAGTGATGATTTCACCAGAACAGGAATGGAGCCAGTTCTGCAAGATGCATCAAAAGGAACTAGTTGATGAGCAACATCCGATCAAGAACTACTTGAAGATAAATTATTCAAACAAGTTTCATCCCTTTGTTATGACTTTAATCAAGGGTCCAATGAAACGACGTGTTGGTGTTCGAAAGCAATTCATTGAACGGTACTATGTACTTAGTCAAGGTAGCTCTCTTTAAATAAGAATACCCTGAAAAACTTAGCTTCTTTATTGTAGGAGGATACCTTCACCAATTCACTATGGACAATAAAGTGTCACCAGAGAAAACGATCTATATACCCTCGGTTACCGTCGTTCCTTCGATTGATCTATCCTCAGCCCTGTATCAACATTACAGTGAGGATAGCTATACATTTGAAATTTGCAGACCAGGCACAAATGTTCTCCAAAAGGACAAGGTGTCGGTGTTTCGTACGACAACCAAACAGGAATTAATCGACTGGTGCACATGTCTCGTTCAAGTTGCTTCGGGAAACTTGCTTACGGAAACTAATTCTAACATATCTCATCCTTCTTCTCCCACTTACAGTGGATGCTCGGTCAAATCAAATGAGTCAATGCTTGATCCATCGACAGCACAAGGTAATAGAATAAGAAAATCAAGTTTCCCTTCAAGGACTCCTTTGCATTCCCCTTCTCCACTCCATTCGTCTGGGTTAAAAATCGCCAATAATGATTCATTCATTATTGAACCATCCTCTGCTTTCTCTACTGATTCTCAAATTCAGGAGAGTGCTATTCACTATGAAGAAGAAGAAGAAGATAGGATCAGTATTGCAAGCAACTCTACAGCCAAAGTGCCATTAGAAAGTGAGTCACGAGAAAATAATGATGAAGACGACCGCTTAGATTCAAGTGAAAATATACATGGTCAAGAACAAGAAGAAAACAAACAAAGAGAACCATCTGTCATTAGTACAATTTTTGATGATGCTCAGTCATCAGTGTACTTTTCATCCACATCAGCACCACCTTCTCCAGCTCTTTCAGCACAGTCATCTGTTATTTCTTTCCCGGGTCTCGGACCATTGGAAGTAACTAGTGAACAAGTAGAAGTGTACAAACCAACATTGTCGTTAAATCTTGAATCTGAGTGATGATTTATACCTTGATTATATATATATTTTATACGGAATTGCATAATAAAAGAGAAAGCTTTCTCAATGATATTTGTATACACTTGGAGATCAAGTTTTTTGTAGCTTTGATACACAAATAAAGTAAATCTTAATGTTTAGACGTGTGAAATATTATGTAACATAATTACATTAGATGACGAACAAGTTAGTATTACAAACAGTGAAGAAGTTGGCTACATACACTATTTCCAGAAAGTAATGTCGTTTTAAGATGTCGTATTTTGTATATTTTGTATTATAAATTCTCGAATTATGCGACATTACTTGTAGAAAAAACTGTACAAGGCACGTTTCATAGGTGACTCAAGAGTTAAATTGATCCCTTCTTCTCAGGGCCTTCTTTTTTCATTGTGTACAATAGAACGTGCTAGTACAACCAATGAATTCTGGAACTTCGTACAAAGCCGAAAGTGGTACCCAATAAGAAATTATTATAGTTTTAATCGATTGTTATACACAAAAAATAAAAGGGTAAATTATTATGGAGTAGGAGGGGAATTAAAGACGGTAGATAAAATTGGGATCTTGAACGTCTGTCAAGTTATCTTCAACATTGGTGACTGTGGATGAAGGATTGGAGATTCTTTGTCTGTTGATCTTGGCCATTTGTGCTCTAACGAGAAGCATCAATAAGATGACGATACAGTTACAGATAATGTATGTAAGCATGGCGGGGAGATAGACGGGCTTGGTGCTATCAACCATCAAGAAGGGACCGACAAAGTTACCAATGGTGTAAAAGACCATGAAGACACCGTTATAGAAAATCTTCTTGGTGTATCCAGAAACGTTGTTTGAAAGGGCTGTCATCATCAAGACGTATGCACCACCAAAGCCATTGGAGAGGTAAACACCAATAAGTTTTGTTCTAACATCGGGTAAGGCAACAAGAAGGATCAAACCGAGAATATCAATGCACATACAGAGTGCAATGATGTAAAAGAGTTGCTTTGTCTTTTTACTGAGGAAAACAGCCAAACCAATCCAAACGATGAAACTCAGACCACTTCCGAGTGTGATAAAGATGGATTGAATACCCTTTTTTATAGTGTTAGTCTTCATATATATCTTTGTTCAATCATTGACTTACAGTAAAACCAAAGTCCATAGCAATCAAAGGAATATAACTGACCATAGCACCATTTTGGATAGTGATGAAGAGACAAGAAAACATGAATGCCCAGAAACGGAATTCTTTCAAGGCTTCAAACATTTGCTCCTTCTTAATGGCAGAAGTTCTAACGACACCATTATCACGAATACGTTCTTCAACGAGGATTTCTTGTTCAGGGTTAAGTTGCAAGGCAGGTGATTTGGGGTTATCAATCAAGAAGAAGAAAGTGACAGCGGAAAGAAGAACAGTACAGCACCCCAAGATGAGCATCAACCATTTCCATTTAGCGATACCATGATCATTGGGCATAACCTGTATACCATAAGAAATCAGACCACCGACAACTGTAGCTACACCATTGAAAATCCAGAAAAGGCCAAGTCTGACAGCTTGTTCTGACTTGCGATAGAAGGTACTGACGAGAAGAGTTAAGGCAGGATAGATACCAGCTTCGAAACAACCAAGCAAGAATCTCAGTGCGGTAACTTGAGCGAAATTAGTAGCTGCAGTAGTGCATGCAATCACTGCACCCCAAAGGAAGATGATGACACCAATGTATCTTCCGATGGGTAATTTTTGCAAAAGGAAGTTGTTTGGGAATTGGTAGACCAGGAAACCCAAGTAAAAGATGGAAGAAATGACATTGTATTGGGTGGGTGACAAGTGCAAATCTTGTTTGATGTTCAAGGAAGCAGAGTATTGAATGGTTGCCTTATCAACGTACTATTATGTCCTAAAAGATAAGCAACTTTTTTTCATTCATTCAGTGTTGAAAATTACCTGAAAGAAGTCAATCATACAGATGATAGGTAAGATATATAAATCGATTTTTCTGACGAGAGCCTTTTCTTCTGCTGACATAGGAACATCATCTTGTTCGTAGTCGTCGTAACGTCCGATCTCTTCTTTATCGTAGGCACTTGTCAAAGACTTGTTTGACATTTTTTCTTGCATGTCCATTTTAATTTTTATTGTTCTCTACGGTGATGTATGTGTTGACTAATACTGATTTATAAAATCTGATTAAATAAAGGATGATGAAGGAAAGAAGGACCGAGAAGGTGAAGAGGAAAAGAGAGGAGGTAAGAGAGAGAAAAAGAGAGACGAGTGAGGATCTTATGCTTTTTTTTTTTGTAGAAGTGTGGAGCTTGAATTGCTTCTTGTGCTTCCAGGCAATGCTAAAAGACTCTCGTGGTTGATTAACATTTCTACTAAAATGCTCGCCGTTTTTTTTTTTTTTGTTTTTCAGCAAAGGAAGTGTCTTTAGAAAAAAGCGCCTGATGATATGTATAAACTACGCTCCGCCATGCATATTAGTGCAACCATCTTAGAGCACGTACTCCTCGGAGTATAAGAAAACTAAAAACGGTCTAGCTTGGAGGAACATTTACATTAGTGATTCACAAATTATAAAGTAGGATATGTTTCTTTATTTGGTTGCACTAAAGATATTTCCAAAGAGGACCCTTTTCCCTTTCTCTTTTCTGGTATAGCGTTCTTTTTTTTTATTGCTATCCCTTTTAGCAGAAATAGTAAGATGACACAGTGAACGTTCTCGTAGCACCATCTTGAAGTCTTGTTGTTGAGTATTGTGCACTGTTTCACACTCCAAGAAACATTCTATAACTTTTTTTTTTTATAAAAAAAATAGGTTAATTTTATGATTCTCATTGCTGCAAGTATTTAATATGTGCTTATTATTATATTATAATAATTGTTTCAATCAATAATAAAAGCAGGAACTATTCTTTAAAAAGGCTATACTGTAGCACATTTTATAATTACTTTTATATTTATATATGTCACTTGGGGTTGCACCCGTAATCGATCATCTTGTGTTCCTTTTTTTGTAATTTAGTTTCCTCTTTTCATTCCTCCTTCTCTGTCGCTGTTTTTGTTTATTTGTAAGTTTAAAATAGTGAGTCCTTTTTTCAAAAATAAAATTCGATCCGAAAAAAGCAAAAAGATGGTGAGTTTGTAAAAAAAGCGAGGGAATGGTGTTACACCTGTACTGTTTGTAACTCCGGAATCCACTGAAAATGAAATGGTACACAGATCAATAGAAAAAGTAAAGCATGAAAAGAAGACAAGGTATATATTTTACTAAAGCTCATTGATATCTGATTGAGTTTATTCTTATAGTAACAAAAACCAATATAGTAAAATGAGGTAAAATTTCTAGAGCTATTTTAAGCTTCAGATGGGAAATCAAAATTGTGATCAGTGCTAACCAGCCAAAGCTTTTTTATTTTGCGCGCGCGCGCAAATCAAAAATAGGTTATCGCTCATTACCATTTACTCGTTATTTAGTTATTTGCTACATAGCTAAACTGAGGTTATCATAAAAAGACTAGTTATTACACTAATAAATGTTCTGTATCGAATGACCTTGATGACTACGGCTGAGCTATTTGTGTTATCAATCAGTACATGTTTCGTAGGATTTAATACATTCTGATGAGTACTCATTGTATCTCCAGGTACTCTTAAAGTTGTCTTGTTTTTATCAATCTTTGTTTGATTTACACCATTCAGTTTGGCTACTATAGACAGTGCTTCCCCCAATTGATAGAAATCAACTTCGATAAAATTCGGCTTTTTGTGTAAAACTGCGGTGCAATTATCTACATGGCTGGCAAGTGATTGGCTATTGACTAACAAAGCATTTGATTTTACAGGTGTCTTTATCGCAAAGCCAGCTATATCAATTGCACCATATATGAAGTGGTTCATGACATACATCAAATCAGTCGAGCTCTTGTTTGACGCAATCCTATCCACATTACAATTGAATCCTTGTAATTCTGTATTTTCAAATGGTGTCTCAAACACTCTGGAAAATTGATCCATTAGCCTGAAGCGAATGTAAGAACAAAGTTGCTGATATATGCTTAATTAACAATGTACCATGGAATATCATTTTCACGAGCACTAGAATCTATAAAGTTCATTACTCGCCTGCCAGATTGGATCATTTCTTGAAGCGTAGGCCATATATCAGTCGAATTATGTGTATAGACAAAGGGCATGATCGCACTAGCTTTGTAGGCTAGTTCTATTTCTGTGGGTTGAATGTTATGCAAATTATTCCACATGATGGTAATCACTTCTTTTGGATTCTGCTTTAACCACAGGGCTATCTCATTTAAGACATCCGTGGCTGACCCCCCATCAAGAACCTCACACAGTGTGTGACATACGTGCACAGACGATGATGTTTCATCTGCAACCGAAACTGCGGTTAACTTGATTCCCCGTACACCATCATTGAGCTGCTGTGTGATCGAGTTGTCTTGGGTGGCCGCAATACTAGGCGATAGAGCATATGAATCATGGGTGATCAAGAAAGTGATGTTGTTATAGGCCTGATTACAGAGATGATGGCCACCATTACATTCAGCACGTAAACCAATTATAAAAAGGCAGACGAACAAAAAGATAGACACAAAGGTCATCATTTTCATTACTGGGTATGTCTTTTTATTTCAAGAAAAATAAAAGGGGAGTGAAAACTAGAATTGTAAAATGGCCAGATGAAAATAAAAGAAAATGTGGAGTATTATCGACGACCACTTAACAAGCTGCCAATGCCAGAAGAGACAGCCTTACCCAAAAGCCCAGTGGCCCCGCTGCCAAGTGATCCTAGCGCAGACTGGGTTGCCATTGAAGTGGCCCATTTACGCTTAGCATCTTTATCACATTGTGTATAGCCATAGACATTAGCTACGTTCATGACGATCGCAATACCCACAATGACCAACCATGATGCTTTGAATGTCAATATACAAGATAACGCTAGTAAGACCCAAATGACAGGTGTGCCATAAAGAACTATCCAGAAGAGACGAGAATCGGCACTATTGGGCTTTCTATTTGGCTATATAATATAATATCAGTTGACCCTTTCTAAACTGATTCAGAATAACGTACATGTGCGCTTTCAAACACCCATTTGTTTGAACCATCTGGCTGAATTTCATTCCACCATCGTAAGCCTACCAACAGACGGCCCGACACGTTCTTTACTGTCCAAAAGTCAAAGGCTAATAACAATATGGTAACAACAAAGATAAGCGTGAAATTATCAGAGAATATTGAGCCTAGCAAGTAAGTAAGAATTGCGCCCAGACGAAAAGCCAAGAAAAAGAAAGCAGCAACAGGATGACTAGAGTATATAAGAATGAGTGTTTATAAGATTAATATTCCCCTCATTTTACCTCGATTGTTCGAAATAATCGCGTATGGCATTTGTATTTCTTGCTCTACTTTCTATGTTGCCTGCTCTACCAGCTTCAACGTCTTGAATGACAAAGCTATTTTCTTGATTCAGCAGGTTTGTTCTGCTTTCGTTTTCCTGCTATTTTACAACAACTTTATAAATTAGTAACAAAGAGAAAGGGTGAGAATCGATGTTGGGGTTACCATTGCTCAATTTGCTAATTGATAGAAAATGCTAATTTATGCTTTGACAATAAAGTGAGAATAATTATACTTGCAGTTTAAAACGCAGCCAATTCTAAGTAACTTGGCGCTCCAAGTTGAATGACTGTACGATTAAACGAACATTTTATTAAAGAAGACATAGAGTCTAAAAACCCTGTTGATATCAAAGGGAAAAAATGGAGAGAAGCGAAGGAAACGGAAAAGGATTAAGTCGGAAGATGTTGAGAGGAGAGAGGAAGTGGTGGAAGTCATTGTAGAAGCTTTCGTCCTAAGTCAGGTAGTGGAGGTGGCATATCGTGTCTGTGGCATAGTTGATCAAGCTCATAAAAGATGGTGCATATAAGAAGTCAACGAGAGAACCAGGAAGAAGCACGAGAGAAGGAACGTAGTTTTTGAGTCGGTAGTAGGTTCAAAAGGAAGGACAGGGTCTCTCCAACAGTGCGTGGTATTTGGAGGCAAGCATGCATATTTCGACAGTGAACGGAATGGCTTTCGTGAGCGGTTATCTAGAATGCTTGGAACAGGGCTTTGACTTACCACTAACCAGCCAACCAAGGCGCCAGCAAATACAGAGACTTCGCTCAAGACGAGACATTGGTAGCCAAAGAATAGGGCCGAGGCAGACTGAGGGACGACCAGGCATAGAAGAATCTGGAGCTTGCCTCAGAGCGGCCCTTATTCAAGTTGGCTTGCAAGTACTCGAGTCGAAGTTATTTTGAGCCGTTTCTTGTCTAAGGAGTCTATGATATCAGAGCACCGTTGCCAAAGAGCATTCTTTGATAATTTGTACCATTGAGAACGACTGCTCGGTTGTCTAAGAAAGGGAAGGGATTTTGTGAGAAAGGTATCATCAGGTAGCCTTAAGGAGCGAAGAAGGAACTGAGCTTGTAGGACGTGTACACTCTCTTGCATAGTCGGCAGTCTGACCATGTGAACCATCACCTTTACAGAAGACTGTTGGCAACCACCAAAGAGGGAACGGGTGCACTTGTCCTGGACGTTGTCAAGTCAATAATAATGGCGCGAGTTGAAGGAACTAATGGCCAGACATACCTTTAGCTTTTCCTTTGTCATATATTGTTTTCCAGTTTTTGTATTTTCCTTTTTCAGAAATGGCTTCAATAAACAGATAATCATCAATATTGTATTGTTTTGTGCTTGGATCCATGCTTAGTTCAACATCATTGCCATTGAACTTTCTTTTTTGATTTTCTATATCGTTTAATACCTCTTCAACGTACGAATGGCATTTTTTATCATAACACTAGGACTTTCATCCTCCAATCCAATTATTTTTTGCAACTTGGATTTTGTTTCTTCAAGAAACCCATTCATCATGGCTGCTTTTTCACTTGCTTTTCCTCCCTTTGGGGTTACCTCTCTTGAAATAGAGTACAGCAGCTGCACGGTTGAGTCAGTGTTTTACAACAGAGACTCTAAACGCTGTGATTGGCTTGTCATATAATATGATAACGCCACAAGTGGATTCATTAGATTTTCTTTTATATGGTCTTTGATAGATATTGCCCAGCATTTACAATTAATTTCTAGCAATTGTATCTGCTGTCTATTTGTTTGAAATTGTTGTTCAAAATTTATACTTGAAAAGCCTTTCACTACAAAAATAAGCACAAAGGGTAAGATATTGTAACAACCAAATATGTAAGTGCAATATCTAATTAGTCTGGTCAACAGTATTTTGAATTTCAATCAGGATGAGCGCTAAAGTGTTTGTTACTTCTTTTTTTTTTTTTTT